GAGATTGTATTCTAGTGTCACTTGATGGATCCTAGGTCCTAGAGTCTGAGACAAAAAGAGATGGAAACAAAAGGAAAAGCAGTTTTGTTTTGTTTTTTCTCACAGAGATTTAATGGCTTTTGAGAGTTACAGGTGGGGTGGGGCAAAATTCCTTGAAGGCCAGCTAACCATAGACCATGTCAGGATTTAAGAAGAAAGTGGTGGGTGAGTTCCTGGAGACCAGTGTAATTTCAGATTCATAATCCAATAAACGGGTCTTTTGGTTGTTGTTTAACTTTTTATTTTGAGATAATTCATAGGCAGTTGCAAAAAATGGTGTAAAGAGGTCCCATTTGCCCTTCACCCAGTTTTCTCTGGAGTTACATCTTACAGAAGTATAGTTCAGTATCAAAACCAGGAAATGGACATTTGTACAGTACATGTCGGTATAGTTCCGTAACATTTTATCATATGTGTAGATTTGGCTAACCACCACCTCAGTCAATACAGAACTATTCCATTACCTGGAAGCTCTCTCCCACGTGCTACCTACCCCTTTACAGTCCCCTCCATTCCAATTCCGCCCCCACTCCCACCATCCTTCACTACTGGAACCGCCAGCCTGTTCTCCATCTTTATAGTTCTGGTTGTTTGTTAGACGGGCTAGTGACGTAACATTGTCTCAAAGGGGAAATGTTTTCTGAAGCAGAAATTATCATCTTAAGAGGTTTTTTTAAAAACCTTGTTTCTTCACGTTTTCTAATTACAAATTTCTTTTGAATGGAGGGCTCCAGTGGGATTTTAATCCATTTGCTCCCAAGTAATGTGACTACTGAGTCATTCATTTCCCCCCACCCCACTTCCAACAGAATTTTCTTAAAGGAACAAAGCATTTTTCCATTAAGTTAATGATGTTGAAATGTTCCAAGTATTGAAGGGATTTTTTAAAACCTCTTAGTGTTTCTTATTTGAGGAGTCACAAAAGCATTAAAATTTTTTGGTGTAAAAAAATAAAGCCATAATTCACCGATACTTTTGTCTGGGTTCCTAATTTATCCTAATAAACTACGATGAAAACAGGATCAAATGAGTCGATATGTCTGAATCACTTAGAACAGTGTCTGGCACATAGTGATCTCTGTCAGTGTTATTTTTTATCGCTGCTGTTAGGATATCTGCTCTCAGGATGAGAAGGACTTTTCAAGCAAAAGATCAGTAGATGAAATCACACAGAAAAGGTCAGGTGTCTGGGCTACTTTAAATATACACCCAAAAACCAGGCCTCCGTAGGCACATGAAGATCCGGAAGAGGTTTTACATAGGTTTTCTTTGGGTGGTGGGTTTATAGGTGATTCACAGCATCCCTCTCCCCATTTTCTCTCCATTTCACAAACGTATTTAACAAACATAATTACTCTTATAGTTGGGGAAAGTAAAGTAATAATGTATAGAAGGGGAATTAAATATACGCAGTTTTGATGAAACTGTTGTGTTGTGACAGCATAGGTGATTCAGTATATTTCAGGAGGGCAATTTGACAAGTAGTCAAAGCCTTGAAAAGGCTCATACTCTTTGACGTAGTGATTTCACTTGTACGACTATATTTTTAGGAAATGATCAGAAATGTCAGAAAAAGTGCAAGAATATTCATTATTTATACAGTAGTTTAGCTTTATAACAGGAAATGAAATCCGCCTTATGTGTAAAGTTCTGTAATTGAGTGAACTCTATGTCAAATGGCTACATTGAGTGTTTTGATAAGTTTAACAGCAGTTTGATAAAGACACTTTGATCATAGCATTAATATAAATTTGGAAATTATATTGGTTAAAAACAAATTCAGTATTTAAGAATTGAATCCAGGAATTTTGTCTTTAAATATGGCACCTTTATATAATTGTATAAATATGATGGAAGTTTTAGAAAGAATAAAAACGTTTTCTAGCAGTCTGATGTTTTTAATATAATGTCATTTTATGCTAATATAATATCTGCCAGTAAATATTTTCTGGCTATATAGGAGATAATATGAAATGAGCGTATATCTAGGCTGAGTACAAGGCAGTTGTGTGTGTGTTTTTTTACTGTAGAGTTGCTTCTGTCATTTTATTTTTTTCTTTAGTAATTTTGAATTTGAAAGTTGTAATCTAATTTAAAGTTTAAGAAAGTGAGTAATTCATATCTTCAGAGCATTGACTGATCTGTGCTGAAGTGATAATTGTTTTCTCGTTCTCAGCACTCCTCATCTCACTTGCTCAAGCCAGAAACTTGGGAATCTTAATACGTCTGGATACCTCATTCTTAGCTTACACTGTGTGAATCCAATTTTTTGCTAAGTCCTGCCTGCTTCCAAAATACCTTGAGTCTACCATTTTTTCCAGTATCTACTGACACCACCCTAGTTGAGGGAACATTGCCTTTTTCTTAGAGTATTGCAGTGTCATCGTAACCATTTCGTCAGGCTTCCCCTGACTCAGTCCAGTACTTTTTGTTAGTTTCTATTTCATTTAAAAGTTGTATTGAAGATATGTATGCATCATGTTTAAGAAGTCAAATATTTACATAAGAGAACATGATATAACAATACCCAAACCCAGCTGCTCCTCACCTTCCATTTTCGAGCTCTGTACCCATCCAAGCCTCTTCCCCTTTGACAGAATATATATCCATTTTTCAAATAATATATCTAAATGCCTATTGTTCATGAGTTTTCAATTCTGGGTATGATTTATTGACTGCTATAGAAGATGATTTCACTCTTTCATATTCTCTTTCTCTCACATTCACACAATCCACTTTCTCCTCTTTTTTCCATACATTGGGTTGTCAGAAAAGTCATGACGTATTTTTTCTGTTTTTCGTTGCAAAAATGCATCATGACTTTTCCGACAATCCAATAGTTATGTCACAGTTTTGACATGAATAACTAATCATGACTCAGCTGTAAAGAATAATCAGGCCCAGCTATTCACAGCTGAGCCATGACTGACTTAAATTTTGTTTTCCTTAAGCTGATAACCTCCTTTAGCTGCCTCTGTACTTGCCATTAATTTTAGTGCCAGAAGTGAATGTAGCGAATGTATCTTCTCAGTGTGTTCAAACACTTCACATACTGTTTCATCTTTCAGAGACGTCTCTCAGAGTCTGTGTCCTCTTGTCACTTAAGATCTGGACTGTTCTTAAGGTCTGTCTGCTCATAGCTTTCTTTGTCCCAGGATCTCCCTTTACTGTTAATCTGGGAATTCCAAATACTTTATTTTTATGTTGGTTCCTCGGTTTCCTGGATTCCATGTCTTTCTTTTTCTTAATTTGCTAGTTTGTTTTGATGGAACACATCCTACTAGCTCTGAGAATAGGTGCATAGAAGGCAAGTTTTCTCTGAATATTTCTTTTTTATATCCTGTTTTTGCCTAATAGGAGCAATATTTATTTTCATCTCTCTGAGGGTAATAATTTATATGGTTTTCTCTCTTTTTTCTCTGTTTTCTTTTTTTTTTTTTAAGATTTTTTTTTTATTGGGGAATTGGGGGGATGGGAACAGTGCTGGGGAATTGGGGAAAGGGGAACAGACAAGTTGCTGTCGTTTTGTTCTTCAGTCTAGTTGTGGAGGATGTTGCTTCACTGGCCCAAGTTGGCACCATCATTGCGCTCTTCTCTGGCGAGGCAGATCAGTCGCCGGCTTCTGGATGGCCGCTCACGCTGGCTGCTGGCCACACACGGTAGCCCATGGCAATCCACTGCCACAGGGACTGCAGCCCACGCCGTCGCCGGCGACTCATGGCAGCCCAGCTCCAGGTTGAGCTGTTGTTCAGCATCTTAGCTGTGGAGGGCGGTGTCACTGGCCCTCATATGTGGGATCCGAACCGGGGCCCTCTGGCATCCCAAGCGAGTTCTTAACCATCGCGCCACTGGGCCGGCCCTCTCTGTTTTCTTTTGTTCCCTGCCATAGCTCAATTTCCTGAGTTCTTTTTCTGTTTTCCTATAGATTCTGTCTCTTTCTGGTGGTTGGTGTATTACAGCAGGGTTCTTGTTTTGAACCTTGAACCTCTTTGGCAGACTTTAAAATCAAAGGAATTCAATTCTTTTAAAGTTCTCTTATCAAATATTTTAAACTGTTACATAACAGTATATGTGCTTTTATTAACATACTAAGATCTAGAGGTGATAATTTTAAAATAGTGATGAATGTAAATATTTTTGAGATAGCTACCAATTGTAATGTGATAGGAAAATACATGGTTTTTATTAGTGACAAAGTTACATGTATTGCTAACTCTTCTGTAATTTATAGTCTACATTTATAATTAAAAAGGAATGTCATTTCCGTTAGAGGTTAGTGTAATATACAAATTTAAGTTTGTTTTTTTTTTTTTTAGCTGAGCCATCCTGCCACCTGTTGGCAGCTCAGCGGCTGCTCAGCTCGGCTGACTCGAACCGCTGTTGCTCAGAGCTCAAACTCTTGAGCGAGCTCTTAACCAACTGAGCCACTCAGCCGGCCCTAAATTTAATTTTTTTATATCCATTTTCTTGAGCCCTTCGAATTCTATTGACAGACCCTGTGGAAGATTAAGAATCCGTTTATTAAGAGGTTTCTTCAAATATCTGGGGTCTTTGACTGTCAGCTCAAAGAGTAAGGTACTGGAAAGCCGATTGGAAGCTCTGAGCGACTGGGTGGGGCTTGACAACTAGTAGGCTCCACTCTGTGTTGTGGGTGCTCCATTTTCATCATCTGTGGACCTTTCCTCTTGAGACTCAAGTCTCTTCAGAGAAGAACCCACCAGTCCGCTTGTAGAGTCGCAGTCTAATTATCAGTGTTCTCATCGACAAGTAATTTTGCCCTCTTGTATTCTGTTAATAAAATTTGTTTTTGTGATTTGACTGAATGGTTATTAATATTAGCTATGTTCCTGTTGAATAAGACAATTCTAGGAAGGAACACAGCATGTTTTGAAACCCTTAATATAACAAGAAAACTGGACTATTTCTTGAATTTATATTTAATTTTCAACTTAATTTTCCAGGAGCTTTCAAGTTGTGGATGGAATAAAAAAGAAAAATACAGTTCTGCACCAAATGCAGTTGCCTTCACAAGAAGATTTAATCATGTGAGTTGCTTATAAAATTTCGATATTTAATTTCTGAGATTCAGTTCCTCAGTATATAATTTTTCATTAGGAAATAATTTCACTTTTTACATCAATCCTGGGACATTTTCAGCCACTATTTCTTCAAATATTGTCTATCTGCATGATCTCTATTTTTTCCTTCTGTAATTCCTATTGGAAATTTTGTTGGAATTTGGCACTTTTCTACTTTTCTCTTAACCTTTCATATTTTACGTCTATCCCTTTGTGTTCATTCTGTGATTTTCTCAAATCTATATTTTAGTTCACTGGTTCTCCTCAGAAGTATCATATCTCTTTCAAATCTGAGTGCTTTTACACTAGTGTCATATTTTTCATATTTTTTAAAAATTTCTTAAATCATTTTCAGTATTTCTGCATTATTATGTAAAGTCCTTGGGGGACTGAATCTCTGTTATTTCTGTTGATCTTATTCACAATGGTTTGTTTTCTTGTGCATTTTGTAATTGGGGATTCAGAGCTCACATGTCTGTTTAAACTTTATCTGTCGGGATTTAGCTGCTGCCTAGATTGAGGATATATCCCTCCTGAGAGGCTTCTTTATGTGGAGGTTAAGGAACATTCCTACTTCTCTGTAGAGAAACTTTAATCTCAGAATCCAGCTAAGGGCAGGTTACAAATTCTCATGAAAGACTTTATTTTTCTCCTTTTTTTGTATTGTCTCCTTCTTCTGGATTATCTCCCTCTTCCAGTAGGTGAATTGTTTTAGTCCACCTTTTCACCAAGATTGCAGCCCTTTGGAGATCCTTTAGATACAAATAGAGGGGGGAAGGTAGAGGTATGAGGCCTTGTATTCTGTCTTTGAAGGAATATTAAATCCTAAGCCCCTGTGTCACTGAGAGGAAATCCTCCCTTTTTTTTTAACCACTTTGCCTTTATTTCCTTCTTTGTTTCTGGCCTGTAGGGAAATCCTGTTTTCCTTTCAAGTTAGCTATACATTTTTTAAATAAACAGTTTATCTTTAACCCAGCATTTCTAAGGCTTGACAGCAAGTCATTTCCTAAGTGGTTTGGTTCACTATATCACCCCAAATGGAAGTGGGTTAAAGTTTTTAAAAATTAGATTTAACCATAAAGAGGGGAATAGGGCAAACATGTCTTGTACTGAATTCCATATTTAAGCTATATAGCAGTTGTCAAAATTTTTCTGAGGTGGGCCGGCCGAGTGGCTCAGTTGGTTAAGAGCTCGCTCAACAGTGTGAGCTCTGAGCAACAGGGTCGCTGGTTTGATTCCCAGCCTGAGCTGAGCTGCCGTTGAGCTGCCAACAGGTGGCAGGATGGCTCAGCTAAAAAAATAATAATAAAAAATTTCTGAGACGGTTAGAATTTATCATCACAATAAAAGTTTTTCCTCCGTTGTACAAATACATTATGTTACAATGCCTACAAATTTGATTTCAGATTAAGCACTCATGTTATTCTTAAGTAAGCCAAAACGTTGTCAGAGTCAAATATGTCACCAAAAGCTTTTATCCTTATTCTGGGCCACAATTGATCCTATAGTGAGCTCCATTACTTAGTTACTCCATTACTCTATTTAATCGAGAAGGGTCATGGAGATCTGAAATAGCAAATTAGAAAGAAGTGAGAAAAGAGCCTTTTAGAAAAAGGAGCCTCTCTGCATCTTTATTTTTAAAATGAGTCTCTTGTAGACAATATATTGTTGAGTCCTTTTTTTTAATTCAGTATGACAATCAACTGCCTTTCAGTTTAAACTTTGAAAAGATGCAAAAATAATTCAGTATCCTATAATTCACTCATTTGCTTTATCCTGCATAACAGTCTCTGAATAATAATCCTAGTGCCAGTAGCATTACTGTAAACAAATACATAACATGTTTTACAGATGTTCTATTTTTTATAATCGCACTATAATCTGAGCATGTAGGTGTTGTATAATGCACTTTTTACTTTTATATAGTCTTGGTTCTATGAATAAGTGTATTTTTAATACTACCATCCTTACGTTGATGTTCTTTGAGTCATTTTTTATTTTCTGAAGCTCATTCTCCAGTAGATTACTCAGGAAGGGCTCACTGAAACAGTAATTTCTCAGTTCTTACATGTTGACAAGCAATTTTAGAAATATAATCTTTATCTTAGAACAACTTTTAGAAATATAATCTTACTCTATCTTAGAACAACTTTTATGTATTTTTTATGGTATTTTATTCATACCAAGAAAACCATACTTGGAATTCTTCACACTTATGATTCTGTTCAGTGTAAATAAATGACAATGTGAGATCACACAGCCATGGAAAACATGCTATACGTAGCATATTTTACAATGTCTGATCTTAGAGCTTATCCAGTTCTGCCAAAGTGTCTCAAAATACAGGAAAAAACACGTGTATAGTGTTCATGTTGGCATCACTCTGCTTTTATTGCATTCTCTTAGCCGTTTTCCTTCAGAGTTTATATTAGCTTTTAAAAACTAAAAATCGTAGTGATGTTTTTATGTGTGTGTACACACATCCATATGTGCATATCTATATCGGTCTGTGTATATGCGGTGTATGCAACATTTGAAGATGGGTTGTGTCCTGGCGGTGAGTCGCGGGAAAGAGCAAGTACTGTTTTTAAACAGCTGTCGGTAGTTAGTTCTTCAAGTAGCTCTTGTCGTGAATTTGATCCTAGTGAGTAAAGAACCTTGCCATTCAGTTCTATTTAACTTTTATTTGCAGGTAAGCTTTTGGGTTGTTAGAGAGATTCTTCATGCTCAAACATTAAAAATTAGAGCGGAAGTTTTGAGCCACTATATCAAAACTGCTAAGGTAAGAAAAACTTGAGTTCTCATTTTTGAGTTCAACTATTCAGCAATGTTTGTGAATATTTGTTTGTGATACTTTATTTATTTATTGATGCTGGAAAATAAGGCCAGTTGGTTAATAGACGTCAGCTTTTTAAATTGAATGCCTGTTTTCTCTGCCTTTTCCTTTATTTTTCTGTCTTCCTCCCCTTTGTTTTATATCTTTTCTCCCTCTCTCAGAGTAGCTGAATTATATGATTTATTTGACTGGATAAGTAGACAGATCAGATTATGATAAAATATAATATTTAAATATTGGACTGTTCTGCAGGTGATTCAGAAATCCTTGCAGGATTAAGTCGGAGAATACATATCACTTCTTTGCTTCTGAAATAGATCACTCTGCCAACCATGTGGCTCGGGCGCCTTCTAACCTTCTCTGGCACTAGGTGGCAGAGCTGGCTTTCTCAAAACTTGATATTTTACAGAAGTGTCATAAAATTTTTACAAACATTCTTTGTGGTATGTTAAATAAATATTGGGTTTTAGCTAATAGAAATTCATGACTTTTCTCCATAGATTATGAATTTGCATTATTGTTTTTTGGTATTTTTGTTAGTTTTTTAAGTATACTTGTATGTGCCACTCAAAACCACCAAATTTTGCCTATCAAACCTGCCATTATCCTCCTCATCAAATAGTCATTTAATTCCAGTTCAGACTTTTAGACTTTGAGTTATTTTTGACAGTGCTTGCTTTTATCCCATGCTTTAAATTCATAGTTTTTCTTTGTCTTATCTCTGTCGCTTAAATCCTTCTATTCTGACTCTCTGCCTTCTGTGTTCAGCTTGTTATAAAACTGCCATGCCTTTCTCTTCTCTTAATAGATTCTATCAGTTTTTTCCTGGGGACACAGGAAAAAATATATATATATATATATATATAGATAGATAGATAGATAGATAGATAGATATATGTATAAATTGATTTAAGGAATTGGCTCATGTGATGGGGAGGAGGGCTGGGAAGTCTGAAATCTGTAGGGCAGGCAGACGGCCTACAAACTTAGGCAGGATTTGAGCTGTAGTCTTGAGGCAGAATTTCTTCTCTGGGAAACCTCACATTTTACCCTTAAGACATTTCAACTGATTAGATGCAGCCCACTTTATTATCGAGAATATTTTAATTAAAATCAGCTGATTGTAGACGTTAACCACATCTACAAAATATTTTCACAGCAACACTTAGATTACTATTTGATTAAATAACTGGGTATAGCCTAGCCAAACTGACACATAAAACCAATTATCACATAGACACATAGACACAAAAGATTATTTATAAATTACATTTAAGGTATCAAAAGAATGAAAGTGGATACGCATGTATCCACTGCCCCCTTTGAATTCCCATATGCCTCTTCATATGTAATCCCTTAAACTTCCCGTTGCAAAAGGAACCATTGCCCTAAATTTTGTTTGCTTTTCTTTTATATTTTTACTACATATATACACATATAGGTTCCTGAATAATATGTTGTTTTTTTATGTTTTTGAATTTTGTTTAAATTGAATTATTCCATAATACTTTTATAACTTTTTTTTTTAACTCAGCAATGTTTGTATTCTGTTGTTTGTATATACCACAAGTTATTCACTATATTCTAGCTTGAATAGTTTCCAGATTTTTGCTGTTATAAACATTGCTGCTATAAAGCATTCTTGTGTGACTCTCTTGGTGCTCATATGAGGGTTGAAGTCCTAAAAATATACAGAGAAAAGACAAAAATACCCTCAAAGAAATGATAATGAAACCAATAGAATGAAAATTTTTTTCTATTTTGGCTGTTTAGGTTTTCTTTCCAAAAATGTCTGTTCAAGATCTTTGAACAATTTTCTGTTACGTTGTTGATCTTTTATTGATTTTTTGTAGGAGTTTTTTTTAACATAAATAGTTTCTAGTTCTCCGTTACATGCTTTGCATACATTTTCCTGTTTGTGGCTTGTCTTGTCATCACTCTTCATGTTATCTTTTGATATAGATGTTCCTAGCTTAGTAGTCAAACCTATTATCTTTAATTAGTAAATTTTTATTGTCTTGTTTAAGAATATCGCATGTAAGGAAGCTTACTGCAACCTCTGAGAATATCAAAGATGTTCTCTTATATTATTAAAGTTTTATAGCTTTGATTTTGGTACTTGAGTATTTAATCTATCTGGAATAAATTTTATATATAACATGTATGATTATGGATTCCAGTTCATAATTTTCCATGAATAATTCTTCTGGTAGCGTTTTTTTTAAATCCTTTTTCTTTTTTAAAGATTTTTTTATTGGGGAATTGGGGGAGGGGAACAGTGTTGGGGAATTGGGGAAGAGGAACAGCCAAGCTGTTGTCCTTCAATCTTCGTTATGGAGGGCGCAGCTAGCTCACCTCCCAATTCCAATCACCATCTGGCCGTCCATGGCAGCTCAAGGTGCCATGTTCAGTCTTAGTTGTGGGTGGGCGTAGCCACCATCCCAAGCGGGAGTCGAACCAGAAACCTTGTTGTTAGGAGCACGTGCTTTCCCCAGCTGAGCCATTTGGCCACCCGTTGGCAGCTCAGCTTGGGCGCAGCGTCACTGGCCCATGTGGGAATCGAACTGGCGAACCTGTTGCTCAGAGCTCACAGTCTTAACCAACTGAGCCACTCAGCCAGCCCCAAAATCCTTCTTTTTTAAAGCTTTCTTTATCTTGTCTGGAAGCATCTTTATGTCACCCTTGTTCTTAAAAGATGCTATTTCAGTCTTACAGTTTGGGATTTTTTTGTTGGTGGTGTTTGTTTGTTTTGCTCTGCTTGGGATCCTTGAGTTCCTGGTCCGAGGAATTAGTGTCTTTCAGTAGTTTGAGGGAATAATCTAATATTATCACTCAAATATTGTTTATACCCCTTTTTTTATTTTCTCTTTCTGCAAATTAAATTAGATAAATGTTGGCCTTTTTTGCTATACCTTTCATGTCTCTTATTTCACATTTAAAAAAAAACTCTTGGGCTTTTATGTTGTATTCTAGATGTCTTCATATTTAATTTTATTTAATTTGAGACCAATACCTGATGCTGTTCTCCATTTGGTAATTCCTGTTTCCTTGTGTTTTTTCATTTTTCTTTTTCTTGCTTTCTTTTTTTTTTTTTTTTACTTGTTCATATTTCTTGAAACTTTATGGGAATTCTTTGAGACCTGAGTTAAGGTGGTGTACTAGTCTGAGTTCTCCAGAGAAACAGAACCCCTCTCCTTTTCTTAGTTCTAATGTTCAAAACGGGTATTTTTGCCTGGGAGTGTCTTGATAGCAGGTGAGGACAGTTCTAAATGACTGATTTTTAGATAAGGCCATTGGGATGTAAGCATCTTATAGTATGAAGAAATCAGGGAAATTAGCAATAAATGTCCGGTAGATCTCTTGACAAGCTGATAAAGCATATTGTTGGGTAGGAGTTTCCTGCCAGGAGACAAAAGCAAGGTCTATGATAGTATTGGGAATCAGGTGGCAGTCATCCCAGCTAGAAGAGGAACAAAGGATCTGGGATTCAGGGAGGAGGAAGCAGGAAATTGAAGAGAAAGCAGGAAATTGAGGAGAGCTGTAGAAAGTAGTTTGAACCCTAGCCCTGGAATAATGGGGCTATTGAATAGGAAACTAGATCAGGGTCCTGGGCACAGACCCTTTCTTAATACCTGGATCATAAGACAGGCTTAGTAATATTTCAGTATAAGGAAGGGGACTGCTTGCTGGAAACCAGGGTGCGTGATCATACCAGGTAAACTTGACACTGAGCCATAACTCTGGCTTCCTTAATATATTACCCAATGAGAGGTAGACTGGTTCCCAGAGCTTAGGGACAGTGCCAAGTTATAACGTGGAATTTCTATTGTGGGCCAAAATCAACTTGCTGTAAACAGAGTGGGTACTCTCATGACAAATCTCAGCAGTGAAGCCCTGGATCACTACCAGTGCCTCGAGTTTAGTTCTTGTTAATATAAAGGTTTTTTTGTATTCATGCTATTTATTTTCACCTCTTATCCCCCCTTTTCTTAAATCTTCAGAAGCTGTACGAGCTGAATAACCTTCATGCACTGATGGCAGTGGTTTCCGGCTTACAGAGTGCCCCAATTTTCAGGTTGACCAAAACGTGGGCGGTAAGTAATCTTTCTTGGTTAATGGAAGGTTGGCCTTCCTGTTGGGAGTAGAGACGTACTCGTTTCTTTTGTAGTTCTTAGTATGAAAATTGATAAAATATTTTAAATATCTTTGTGCTCTGTTCTTGGACACCTACATTTTTCTCTCTCAAGTGTTTCATTAGGATTGTCAGGTAATTTTTAGGTAAGTTACAGTTTGGTCATTGGTTTCTGCTCTTTAGGAAATCATTTTTGTAGACTCTCCTTAAGCATCTTTAACAATATAGCATTTCATGTTTACTGATGAGAAATTGTGAATGCATAAAAATTGCATTTAATCGTGTAAAGACTATGCTTTTGGAAAGTTTGAGGAAGATCTAAATTGTAAATTTCAAAAAAAAAAATACACACACACATATACTGATTTACATTTCCATTATTTTTTAGTCAGTGAACTCATGGGGTTTTTCCTTAGGAATAATGGAAAGGCTGTTAGTTAACATGGAGTTTATGCAGTGTTGCTGCACCTTCTGATATTATTTTAATTGTATTTGGTTCTATTACTTTAATAAGGTCAGGGTGTGAATTTTTTACTTCTGCAAGCTTGTGTGTTTTCATATTTGAAGGACGTGATACTGGCCTCAAGGATATTTTTCATTTACATTTTATATAAGTAAAATTTTACATTAAATTAAAACTGTTCATATTTAATATTGTTATTTCATGCTAAAGAGGAAGGATTTTCTTTATTACATTTTGTACAAAGGATTAGTGTGTTCTTAGGGTCCTGTGATAAAGACATGACTAACTGTAAAAAGCTTTTTTTATTACTAAAATATAACTGTTTTTAATTAGCCTAGTGTTTTCACTTTTCCTAGTGTCTGAAGAGACAGATGTTTCTCATGAAAACCAGGGTAGATTTCTGTATTGGAAAAACATTAGTATGGAAGAACTTAAATCCTCTTTATATTTTATTTGTATTTTAGAAACACCTGGATAAAGGGTTTCCCTGCTTTAAAATTTATTTTTCATAATGATAGCCTTATTTTCTTAAAATTTGAATTTCATGAGGAAATGGAAATGATTATAAATACATAGTTATGAATTTCATCTGAAGTTTTAGAGAAAAGAATTATATTGTGATTTATATTGTGGTATAAAAATGAGATACACTTCCCTCAAGTTAATTTCTGTTTTCCTTGAAGATATTTTTATTGTCTCCCTCATGTATTTACATGGAAAATACTTTTTTTAAATTTAGTAACAGCTCCATTATTAACCTGGATAAAATTTTCGGTGTTTATATTAAATTTTCAAATATTCCATACTGAGCCAGGCACTAATTGCTTGACAAACAACACTGCATGATATAGACAAAGTCTTATTCTTATACAGCTACCATTCTACTGGGAAAAGATAAACTGTAAATAAATAAATTATATATCATAAATAGTGATGAATGCCTTGAAGAAAAATAAAGCCGAGTAAATGGGATAGAAAGCAAAGCAGGGAAATATTGCATAAAAAATGTGGTAAGAGCGTCTCTGATAAGTGACAGTTGGGTAGAGACTTGGAGGAGCTGAGAGAACCGCCCGTGTGGAGGTAAAAGCCACTACAAAGGCCCTAACAACGTTCAAAGCTTAGCAGCCGGTCAGTGCTCCGTGGAACAAGCTCGAGAGTGGTTGGTGGGAGATGAGTCCAAAGAGGCAGCGTCCAGTCAGATAACGGAGACACTCGTCCGTGAGATCCAGGGAGACGCAGAGAAAGGAATGTGGGGGGAGCTGTTTTATACATACCACGTTTGAGTTGGCTGATAAACGTCCGTGTGGAACTATAAGGCCCGAGGTAGGCATACAAATTTAAGAGAGCAGTTGGGGCTGCAGATGTATTTCATGATTATCAGCATAAAGGCAGTATTTCAAAACATGAGGTTCAGTGGGATCGCCCAAGGCCGTGAGTCCAGGTGAAAAGCCCTAGAACCATCCAAGATTTAGAAATTGGCAAAATGAGGAGGCATCCGCAAAGGAGATATCCTGGGTAGGAGAAGTTTTCCACAGCTGGGGAAAGGGAGTATTTCAAGAAAGAGTGATCGCCTGTGTCAAATGCTGCTAAGTTGAATAAGCTGAGAACTTTGCAGCACCCGTTGGATCTGGCAGGTGGAGAGGACTGGTTACCTTGGCAAGGATGTTTCAGTGCCGTGGTGGGAGGAAACCCTGGTTGGAATTGAGAGAATGATGGAGATAAAATGGGACAGCAGGTACAGAGAATGTATTTGCGGAATTCTGCTATGAAGGGTTAGGGTGAGGTGCTACAAAGAGATGTGGTGGTAGCTAGAGGGAAGTGTGAGACCAAACATTTGTGGCATTTTGTCTTGATTTTGGGGATGAGCTCCATGACAGTGTGTGTATGCTGGTAGGAGTGATCTAATTAAATGGGGAGAATGGTAAGCGAACAAGCGGTTACTCCTGTGATACCCTCAGGCAAGAAGGGATTCGATCCGGTACTCCAGTGGATCAGGAACAGTTGATCATTTTAACAGGAGAAAAGAGGATGCATTTGGTGACAGGCGCAGCCAAGCTGGTAGACTTGGTGGTGGGGTTCATTAGAAGTCCTAGTGCTCTGTCTCTTAAGATACAAGAAGGAAGGTCATTAGCTGAGTGTTGGGGCGGGAGTTGGAGGTTTGAACAGAGAGGAAAGCATGACAGCCGTCTAGGAGAGCATGAGAGTAAACTAACAGAAAATGTAGTTGGTTTGGTAGATCTTATGAAGGATCCACTTGAGATTTTTGGTCATGAATTTCAAGTGAAACTGGGCAACAAAGTTACGTGTCCTCCAGCCAGGTTCAGGTGTTCAGTCTTAACCTGGAGTAGTGCTGAGAAATGCATTTAACGAGAGTTGGAATTTTTTTAGGCTTGTTTGTACCGCAGAGGGGTCAAGGATAGCACAAGAGATAAAGTGTGTGAATATAAAAGTTGTCTTAGGATAGATAAGGAATCTAACCCAAGCAAAAGGAGAGAGGAGATGAACAGTGAAAAGGTAGTATAGTAATTGGATTTGAAACACTACTCCTGTGGAGGGAGAACGTAGGTAGATGTGCGTTGTTGGTGTGTAGTTCTTAGGGAAGGTAGACGTGTGTGTGTTCGTTATAAAATTATAAAATAAATCAATTTAGCAAAAATGTCACATCAGGCATTATTGAGAATTGAGTGTCATGAACAAAGGATTATAATTAGCCTGCATCCAGGGTCCAAGATGAATAAATAATTTACTTGTGTAAATGCACATATTTATCGTATGGGGGTACCAGTCAAGGTGATGAGGGTGATCTGGGAATCCTGTGTTTCTTACGGTGACTCAACTGAACAGGGATTCATCCGAATTTTCCCAAAGCAGATTGTCACGGCAAGGTAGTATGGTGACCTGGCCAGGAATATTTGGAGTTCCCACATGCACACACTGATGAAATCGGGAACAGCTCCGCCCGCTGTGGTCATGCTCTTGACCAGAGGAAAGCCTGGCACCTAAAACATGGAGTTAGAACCTTGAGAAGTATTCTGTTTTTCCCCTTTTTGGAGGGAGGAATATACTGAAGTGACATTGTAGGGACAACATTAGGAACATCAGAAAGAGATTTGAAAAGGAGGAAAAGAAAGTCAAGACTTCTTAGTTATGACTTTGGCACATGTGCTGTGGATGAGTTTCTGCGCTATCACTAGGAAATTCCTATTTTAATTTAACATCGACTGAATTCTTTTATCCATATTCTTCCTCTAAATAGTCTTCTGGAAACAGGTCTCTGCTACCCCACCCCAGACTGAATTTTTTAATCTGGTTATTAATTTATTATGAGAAATCCAAAATATGTTATTTTTATATGTAATAGACCATATAGCTCTTTACCACAGTTTTGTGTTTCAGCTGTGGCAAGATTTATTATGAGTTCCAAGTAATTTGTTTTCTCCTGATATTGTATCAAAGTTTTTGAATGATTGACTTAGGAAAAGACTTGGTTACTGTTACTCCTCTCTGTCACATCACTGTGTCTTACGTATCCAGATGCTGTATTGTGTGAGAGAGAGGGATGGTCGGATATACAGGCAGCGTCAGAGATTTGTACCTGATCTTGAAAATGCTAATCAAGTGCGTTGAAACTGGGCAGGGAAAGATTGTGAAACCGCTGTTTGAGACCGTGGAATGTCTATCTAAAACATTAAAGCAAAGGACTCTGAAATCTTGTGTTTTAAAGAGGGAGGGATACCGGTCAGACATTTTTCAGATAGAGATTATCTGAAGATATTCTGCATTGTTGGAGCCTATGAAAAATAGATTCCCAACATCAATCCCAATTCTACTACTTGTAATAATAGAAAGAGGAGTGGATTTATCTGCAGGACCAGGTTAAGACCCTACAAACCAGACACCTGTAATACATCTTTGTGAGTGCGTGACTGGGAGGGTTTACATGTTCCCTTTCTTGCTAACCCTGTGATCCCCTTTGAACCTCAGTCTCCTCATCTCTAAAGTAACCCACAGACTTTTCTGTTAACCTCATAGGAGAATAGATGAGAGTTTTATGGATGGGAAATAACACTAATATTTTATGACATAAATAATTAGTACATCATAATGAAGTAGTAACGTCATGTGTTTAAAGAAAAAAAGTTTTTTCAGAATCTTTGGAATACTTAACAGAATATTTTCCGAGACTTTTAGTTACTATTTGTGTGATTGACTTTGCTTTCCTTTTATTCTCCTTGATTACCTCCATGGGTTTCAAAGGGCACACACAACAAATCTACCCACAAGCCTCTGAAAACATTGTCAGTTGATTCTTCATATAAGACTGGTCAAAGGGATCAAAGAAAAAATGTCTTGTCAAAAATGCAAAAATGTAAATCACAGTTTACAAATATTATAGCCATTGTTAGATTTGTCAACAAGAATTGCTTAACTGTTTAAAATAGTAAATGAGAAATAATGTATTATAATTTACTAAGTAACTTAATGATTTTATGTACATAATAAATGATATTATATTTTATAGTTAATAGATTTGGGTTTACGTATTATCTTAATAGGTATGTCTGATTTTGTAACTTATATATTACCAAAATATAATTAAAGGAGGTATAACTTCCAAACTAAATTCAAATTTACAGTAAACACAACTTCAAGTCTTTGCTATAATAAAATGGGATTTGGAAATAACTTAAGCTTTTCTGTGTGTTTTTTAGTTATTAAGTCGAAAAGACAAAACTACCTTTGAAAAATTAGAATACGTAATGAGTAAAGAAGATAACTACAAAAGGCTCCGAGACTATATCAGTAGCTTAAAGATGACGCCTTGCATCCCTTACTTAGGTGAGTGATGTCGCTGTCGATTATGCTCGTTGTTTCTCTGCCTTCATCAGTAAGCTGTATAACATTCAGGACATTTTATAAGTATATGTGTCCTTTAAAGAAATTACTGCAATCGTTAAGCTGAAAATATTGACTAAAGGACTACGTTACCTTATTACCTGGAATGTATTTTTATATTACATTAGCCTTTGCTCTTAAGGCTTTTTCATAGACTATCGTGTTTTTTCTTAGAGATGGACTGTATGATAAAAGCATACACTTTAGCTATTATAGTAATGTTTTTAAAGACTGAAACTGGAGTTCGCAATGAAGTTTAATGCTGTAAAAATCTTTAACATCAACTAAAGGAATTGATTAAGAGATTTATTGAAAGTATTTTAACATCATGACTTCATATTTTGTATAATTGGCAGATATTTTAGGGTGAATTATGAAAAGCAGTCTCAATGAATGTTGGTGTTATTGTCTTCCTGGATTAAATGAGTTGCTTAACTGTGGAAATTGAGTTTAGTGCTGAAACAAATCTGTATTTCATGTGTAATTTGATTAAGGATTTATCTCTTTACTGTATACTTTACAGTGTTTATAAATTCCAAGAATTATTTAAGCTAGCATTACAAGATTATTTTCAACAAAATATAATGTTAGGTGTTTGAATGAAAAGAAGTCTCAAACTGTCACTTTTAAAATGTGTATATAAATTTAAATGTAGAAAATACTCTATATGATATATACCCTACATAAATTAAAATAAATTGGTTTGATCCTGTGTAGAGTAATCAAATGATAAACGTTTTTTTTCTATTATCCCTTTTACTCCCGCCTCTCCTGTCTTTTCTATATCCACTCATAATGGATTTTACGATAGCTACTTTTGAAAGTACGTAGTTGAAAACCCTGTTATTTGTTTATGAGATGCCACAGTGTCATTTTTGAAGTCGTTACAGTACCAATGACAGCAGACAGATTAGGGACGGAGCAGTTGACACACTGATTCGGCTGCCCTAGAGCATCCGCCTTCCTTTGTCAGAAGAGTGGAGCTCGTTAGGACATTGCGGAATCCTAGGACTCCAGGGGGAACGGGATGTATACCCCGTATCGAAGGCAATGGAGACAGTGGCCACCACGGACCAGAATGTTGAGTCCTGTGTCTTTGGTAAACCATTCAGGGCCACAGTAGGCCTGACCGCATCAGAGTGGCTCTGAGCTGGATGAGGACAGACACTCTACATCCAGTTTATGCAGTAGCCTTGGCTATGCCCGTTTTTGGAAAGGTAGTTTGGGGGAGAGGAAGAATAGAAGATTTAAAGAATATTATCAATATCTTCACGCATCATTAGAACATAAACTTTTTATAGCATAAAAAACATCAGACTGAAAACTGGCAACCCTCAATTCCAAAATGGCTCCACCATACTAACTTTTCAAGTCACTGAGTTGTCTTCCTTGTGCCTGTTCTCTTTACCTAGAAGCAGCACGCACAGGACCAGAATCATGTTCTTCTTAAGGCTGCAGGGACCGCATGATCTCTTCTATTAATAATTCACTTATTTTACAATTGAGAGATCCGAGGCCAGGAAGGTGGGAGACCTGGCTCAGACCCTAAGGCCTCGGTCCCGACACATCCTCAGTCTGGAGTCTTGATCTCGCATCTTTCCCGTTATACGTGCTGAGCTCTCATTCTAAAATTTACTGATCCTATGATGGTAGTATTTTTTTCTCATTGAAATGTTTTCTCAAATTCCATAATCTATATCTTTTAAAAGGAAATCAAGATTATTTCTATTGAAAATGAGAAAATGGCAAAATAATATAAATCTTTGTGCTAGGATGTCTAGCGGAGACTTCAGGATTTGGAGTTGCGTGTGTGTGTGCACATGTGTCCACTCTTACGTGCACACACAGAGAAGCGGAGGAAAGCGCCAGCATAGACAGAATTTAGTTGAACCTGGAAACATTTGCTATTAAAGAACATATCTGTTTTCTTCCAGTCCTGGTACCTGAAACAAACGCTGTAATTATTTCTGTGGGTTAAAGCAAACATGGCAGATAATGAGGTGCAGAAGTGAATTTGGAGAAAATATTAAAATCATTATCTTTCCTGTATCTTTAGTCTGGTCTCCGTTGACGCCTTCTCTTTTCAGTTTTCGTTTGTCCTGTATGTCTCACGACCCAGAATCCTGCTTCTCAACTATCACCGTGGAGCTCTGCTTCAGTTTATACCGAAGCTAATACTAAAGTCCCCTGTTCCTCCCTTCTCCTTTGTGTTGATGTTTTCTTCTGCTCAGCATGCTGTCATCTCCCGCTTGACTTGGAAAAGTTTTCCCAGTACGGTCACCACTGACTTCCTAGTTAAAACGATTAGTAAATATTTCTCAAGCCTTATCTTATTTTTTTTATTTTTTTTGTTGCAGCTGACATTCAATATTATATTAGTTTCAAGTGTACAGTATAGTGGTTACATATTTATATAGTATATGCAGTGATCCCCCTGGCACCATACATACTTGTTGCAACATATTATTGATTGGCTGTATTCTCTGTGGTGTATTTTATATTTCCTTGACTATTTTTAACTACCAATTTGTACTTCTTAATCCCTTCCCCTTTTTCACCCAGCTTTCCAACCCCCCTCCCATCTGGCAACCATCAGTTCTCTGTATGAGTCTGTTTCTGTTTTATTCATTCATTTATTTTGTTCTTTAGATTCTACACATATGTGAGATCATATGGTATTTGCCTTCTTTGGTCCGACTTGTTTCACTTCACATAATATCCTCTAGGTATATCTATGTTGTTGCAAATGGTAAGATCTTGTTCTTTTTTATGGCCGAGTAATATTCCATTGTATATATGTACCACCTCTTCTTTATCCAGTCATCTGTTGACAGGCACTTGAGTTGCTTCCATATCTTGGCTATTTTAAATAGTGCCGCAATGAACGTAAGGATGCATGTATCTTTTCAAATTAGTGTTTTGAATTTCTTAGGGTAAATACCCAGAAGTGGAATTGCTGGGTTATAAGGTAGTTCTATTTTTAATTTTTTGAGGAGCTCCAAACTGTTTTCCATAGTGGTTGCACCAGTTTGCAATCCCACCAATGGTGCACAAGGGTTCCCTTATCTCAGCCTCCTCACCCACGCTGCTCAAACCTCATCTTAAATTGTGAGGTTGATATTACTTATTTCTGCTTCTTGAATTTCTCCATTTGTAGCACCGGTCCCTCTTGGTTCACCTTCTACATTTCTGGCTTTTGTCTTATTGGCTCCTCTTTTTCTGCCTTTCTCTTAAATCTATTCTTCTAAAGGTCTCAGTCCACTTTTTTTTTTTTTGAGTCTTTAATTTGGCATGGTCTCATTCAGACTTTTTCCATATATCACCTGATGACTCCCAAATCTAGACTAGACCTGTATGTGCAGCTGTCTGTGTAGTTCCTGGGGACTAGTAACATTTTAGTTACTCACATACTAATTGCATGAGATCTCTATAGGCAACTAATTCAACACGTCCAAAGGTAAATTCATCATCTTCCCCCTCCCTCGAAACCTGACCCCCAGCTTGTCCCCCAGCGTTGTCTACCAGTAACTCCAGTGTGGTACATTATCTACACTAGGAGCCTGGGGTTGCGTGCTAGATTTCTTCTTCCCATCAGCTTCTTGTATTCTCTATTGAAATGAGATGCATGTTTCTGAGGGTTATCCAGCAATTAGAAACCAAAAGGGGAAAAAGAACAAAGAACTTAAGTTGAATTAGAGAATATACACTTTAGCATCTACATAATTTTACATATTGGTAGTCTTTGTATATTTATTCATCCCCACACTAGTTTGTGAAGCAGCTGAGATTGTGATATGATTGTAGAACATTTGGCATAAACATTTGGTAGACTTGGGAAAGGAAAATGAAACATTTGTCAGATAAGTTATTGTGACTCAGTTTGTAGTGACAGTTTTGTTCTGTTTTGTAGCAAACCTTCAGATTAAATAACTGTATTCCATCTATCAAAAGATACATGCTTTCCTTAAGAAAATGTGAAGCATTTTTAACTTACACAACTTTTTGCCTACTTGATTTATTTACATCATAGATAGCTGGTTCGTTTTTTCATTCCTGATCTTCGATATTAAAGTGTTTTGAAGAATGAAGATTTAACAATAGTTTATATGCTGTTAATATTTATTTTTTCATATTTTGTCCTAATTTAAAATGAATAGGATCATGGTTTTTAAATTTAACTAGTCTTAATTTCAGAATCCTTTATCACTCATAAGAAACTAAGCCTAGTGCAGTTGTCAAAAATGTCAGCATTTACATGATGCTAGACATTTGATAGGACAGAACTTGCCCTGAAGATATTTGAAAAATAATACTCACTAGTAAATTGGCACCTTCTATTTAATCACCTCTCTTTGCATAATGAATGCTACCCTTTACCCATTATGTCTGCAAAGGTTCTTATGGACAGAATTAGCAACCAGAAGAATCTATAGTGCCTAGAAAGATGATAAAGGCTAATCATCTCTCTTTACATGAGAGCTGTTCCAAACTAAGGTTGTTTATGCCCCCTAAAAATTACAATCAAAAGCAACCATTCTTTGTGAAGCTTAAAAAAGGAGATGGGTGTTTATATGCTGACAAAACTCTTATTTTGATACTGCCAGATTTAACTATAACTCATTGTGGATTAAATTGGAAGAAGTAGAAATGATTTCTTGGCTTTCAACTCTTCGTCCCTTGAAAAATTCTCTGTTCTCTTGATTCTCATTCAAGGTAAAAATTAGTCAGCCTGGACAATATAGTGAAAAATTTTTAGAATAAGGATACAGTTTTTCTGGAGAGGAATAGTTTGGCAAATCTCAAGGAAAAAATAGTTTTATATGAGAATTATTGCTTTAAATCTGAAAATCATTAACAACACTCATTTGTTCTTGTCATTGGAGAATAATCTTAAGGGGCTTATTAAAGAATTTGGCATAGGAAGTTTTGCTTTGCTGGAGAGAAGAAAAGTAGGACATTGTGCAAAATAATTTAGTTGTATGACATATGATATTCTTTCATGTGCATTTTCGAGCCTCATTTCTCCTTACTCATGTAATTTTGGGACTATGCAGTAGCTCAGCCAGCTTAGGATGTTTTCTGGGAAAGAGCATATTTTTAAAACTATAGAAATAAGTAAATTGTTGCAGTTTTGTATATTGCTTTCTCCTAAGTAGAAGCAGAGAATTTCTTGCAAACTATCCTGTCCTTCTCTAGGACATAAATACATTGTATTGATGTAGGTATGACTACTCACTCTTGTAGCGAGAGCTCCCACACACACTTAATTTTCAATTTATTAATAATATGTTAGATTTTCATAATAGGCCTTTTTTTGACAAAAGAAAAGCTACCCTTATAACCTTCTATAATATAGTGCCCTCTCCATCCCCCGTTCTCTGAAAAGCACCATATTATTTTCATTATGATGTTTGCATTCATCTGTCTTGCCCCTCAGCTGTATGGAAGCCCTCCTTTGTCTTGGTTCAGGGCTTTATTCTTAGTATCTAGAACAAAAGTAAGCACTTAGTAATATTTGTTGGTTGAATTAATTAATTAACTGACTAATTTCTGGCTCTCCCCATTGTTCCAGTAACTTTGTTTTAAATGCCATTTATTTGTGTGGTATTTTTGTGTCCATCAACTCCCTACCCACCCCCAGTTTTCTTTGGGTGCATCAGCTGGCTAGCCAGTATTTGCTTTGCAGTATGCTTGGTGCTAGATGTGTAGCAGGCAATGAAATGGACTTTGTGCTGCCTTTCTGGAACTTCCCATCTCTTCCGTACCAAAGGCTCAGGTTGATATTACTACCTTGTGAATAATGTCTTCCATCTCCTGTGTCATGCAAGAGGCACAGCTCATTGCCAGGCCTTGCTGTAGTGTTCTCATCACGGCTATTGAAATGTTTAAAGCATGCCTAAACCTACAGGGATCTTGAGATTTTATCTGATCCTTTTATCTTTCAGTAGTTTTTACCTATCTTGGTCTCTCAGTAGAATACAGCTCTTCAGTTTTACATTAGGTTTAGAAACTTCTACTAACCTATATACAAATATTTTCAAAAATAATAGCTTTTCATTCACATTTCTATTCAGATAATTTCAACAGAGTCTAAAGGTTTCTGTAGCTCTGTGAGTATTAATGAGACTTTTCCCCTTTCCCTTTGGTAAAATTGTACATGGTTAAATGTATAAAATGCACTGACACTGACCTCAAAAATGCTTAATGGTTAGAAAATGTCATTGGCTTTTAATATTTTAAGAGTGTTATTCCATTTTTCTTTCTTTGGTTTAATTTGTAAATAATATACACCATGGATTACTTTCCCTTATTGTCCTCATTAGATTATATGTTGTATTCTAAAATAGCAATAAAGCATGTTCAGTCATTTTCTTTTGAATTCTGAGAATGAGCTCTGAGCAAATGGCAGCTAGCCTAGTTTTTTTTCTTGGCCAAAATGACAATCCCCATTTTCCATTACCTCATTTATATCCTTTTTTTACCCTCATTCTTTTTTATGTATTTTAAATTCCTTTAACATTCTTTAATGGTATACGTATTTTCTGAAGTTTATTTTAGATCACTCAAAGACTCGTGGTATAAAAGGACTGGGAATGGGGTTGCGTTAATTTCTTTCCCATGTTCCTCGTTTTTCTTTAAGAGCCTCCCTCTTTAAAAAATGTATAGTAGCTACATAGGCCTGCATTTTAATCATAAACAGAGTCAGATTCCCCCAGTTCCAACAGCTTTGCCAGTGGTATTTCCAGCTGTTAATATGTCAATTTGTAATTTTTTATTAAACCTTAGCAGCAGAATAATAATAAAAATTTCAATAATTAACATTTATTTAGCATTTAATACTATATGCCCGACACTGTGTACTTTACATAAATTATCAAATTCTTAACAGTTTTATTAAGAAAGTGATTACTTATTTTACAAGTGAAGAAACTGAGACAAGGGAGCTTAAATTGACTTGCTGTAAACATATGCTTTGTAACTATTTCATTTATAGTTCAAAAACATGTATTTATATTAATATTTTGGGAACCTGTATTTAGATGGCAATTTTGAATGTATTCTTCTTTCTTTCCTATACTTATCTATAGAAGTGCTACTTAATAACTATTAACCCCTCTGATAAAATTGAAAACTGAGCTTATTTGTAGATGGCTTTGGGGGGGGGGGGGGGGGGGGGGGACATAGCATTATAAGTGGAATGATTCTTTTACTTGGTTATCTTTCAAAGACCCTAAAAATAAAAGAGTAAAACTCGTTAGGGTATAACAATCTTTAACTTACTAATAAGTATATAAAACTAATATTACGGTAGTACAGATTTACAAGTAATTGAAAACATTTTCACAGTTGCTAAAGTTGTTACAGGCTTATTATATTATTATCAGTGGAAATCCTAAGAAGAAGAATGCTAGGAAAATTAGCACTCTCGTACGATGATGACTCAGGAGTCAAGTGAACATTAGACTGAAATTTTCATCTTTATACTTTACCAGGCTTGGAGCCTGGGGAATAAGTTTATTTGTAGATATCTACTAAATTTCAAGGCAGTTGCTCATATTGTCATTATCCAAAATCTCAAGTTTTAAAAGTATACTTCAGAGATGCCAAGTTTCATAGTCATTGATGGCCTCCCATTGCAGAATCTAAATCATTTTTTAACATAAGCTTCATTTCATTTATTAATAGTAACTGAAATAAAGAATCCTTTTGTAAACCAGCTCCAAGGTTATAGTTCATCCTTACTGACAGTAAGGCAGCCATGTTTTTATTCCTAGGTAAGCAACCTACTTAATCGCTCATAAGATCCTCATTAGGCTGACATTCCTACTATGGCTAGTCTTAATTTTTCTTTTTCTTTTTTTATGGTCCAGTTTCTTAACTATCTGCTATTAAATCTGACATAGCTCTATTAGGTTCGCAAATGAAGCTCATGGATCAATGTAATTTTGTGCCTGAAAATTTGGATATTGTTTCTTTTAACACATTTATTGATCACACCTATTCTGTGCAAGACACCATAATAGATATTACAGCAAGTACATAGATCAGTGGTAATAACCTCATAGCTGAAGTCAGCTGAGTCCTTACTTGCGTCAGGCATTATTCTACCTGTTTTATCACATGTATTAATTACCTCATTTGATTTCACAACCACATGAACTAGTTACTTTTGTTATCCCTGTTTTATAAATAAGAAAACTGAGGCAAGAGTATCTAAATTGCCCAAGGTAACCCAGCTAGTAAGTGGTAGAGTTGGGCCAAAAACCCAAGCAGTTCTGGCTGTAGAACCTACATTCAGCCATCGTGTAATCCTGCTCTCATTCCCTCTCCTGAGGAACTGACTTCGGCTGAGTTATTCTTAAGCTCCCCAGGAACTGCAGAGCAGAGCAGTGTCAGCTCTGAAGGAGAGGGGAATGGGCCCAGTGGCCAAGGCAGCTTAGCATGCAGCCCAGTTTTCTAGTTTGTATGCTGACTTTCACATTATTCTAGTTTTACTAATAATTCCTCTTCTGTGAAAATTCTGTAAAACTTGTCTTTGATAGCATTTTGAATGTTTAAGTGAAATGCTACAGTTCTGTCGATAAATGAAATGTCCTAGTGAAGTTTTATTCAGTTAAGATTTGATATAACAGTTAGATGCCTAATCCCTCCCAGAAATCTTATAGCAGATTTGTTTTGTTTTGTTTGGGGGAGGTGGGAATGGACTTGAAAACCACTGAAAGATGACCCTAGGTGAAACAAAGAATAATGGCACTATAAGGTTTTGATGTTCTCTCAGCTTCTCTGACCAGAAGCTTTATTTTGAGATGTGACAGAGGAAGAACATTTGTCATGTTAGTGGACTTGAGTTGTTCAAATGATTGTTTGTAGTTCTGATTGAATTTTCTTTTTGTTAGAGCAAAATTCTCATGAGATTTCTCTAAAATGTTAGAGTTTACAAATGAATTAAGTGAAGGTCAGCTATAAGCAATGAACATGTTCCTGGAAGGAAATGGTTTCAGAAGGTGGGTAATAAAGTTGTTAGTTGCAAAGATGAGTTAAAGACACACGCACTATAAAATGGAATTAACAATTTGGACTAGATAAACCCGTATGGATTCTGCTCTGACACTGTTGAGTCTCAGTATTGGAAAAATATCTAAAAGGTCCTTGAAGTTTTAGTCCCGCCTGTGAGGATGCAGTAATGCTTGTCAAGCTGTCCAACTTTCCGACTTGAATAGCATGCATGGTTTTTCCAAATAAGAAGGGTCAGTAAGTTGGGGGTGGAAAGCATTTATAAATAAAGTTAGAGTTAGAGTTCAGATCTGTTAGACCATTGGTTTACTAAATAAACTGCATTTTTATAATATCAATATTTTGCTGCTATAACAATATAAAATGCATTTCAGGAGATTTTGGTGTTCAGCAAATCATGAAGATAATACTAAAAATTCATTTGTATGTTTCCGTTTTTACAAATCGACTATTTAAATATTATATACATTTATTTTTTGTTTTTAAAAATATATATTAAAATACTGTGGATCATGTAATTCTTTTGGGAAATTAGCATAAAATAAGTTGTCAAGAATTCATTTCATGTGAAAGGCACAAATTCAATTTAAAATAACTTTTATTCAATGCAAAATGTATTTTCTATTGGCAAAACTAGAGTTTTCTCTAATTTCCTGTCTATAATTTTATAAATAAAATGTATTACTTAGCTCAAATCTTAAAACTATTTTTCCATTGAAAATTAGAACAATCTCATATAAAGTTTTTAAATAAATTGTTAGGGATCTTGAACATGTGTTCAATTCTGATTTAAAATAAAGCTAAGATTTGTTTTACATTGTGGCAAATATTTACATTTTAGAAAACAAACTTTGCCTGTATTTGGTAAATATAATTTTTAAAATAACTAGGATTATGGATAGTAATGATCTTCTGCAGGATATTAAGGGAAGATGAAACTATATTCATAAATCCCCTTTTATAGTTATGGTAAAAAACATTTTAAAAACTATCTGTAGAAATGAATTGTGCAAAACAATATACATGTAACATTTACATTTTGAGAAACTGGAAAATACAGAGTTCTGTTTAAGTTGTAGACTGTCTCCCTTTAGTCAATAGGCTTGATCATCATCTGAACTGCTCTCAGGGAGTAGGACCCCCCTCGGTATTCAGCCCAAAAGATACCATCCTGGTACTTGCTTCTGTAATGGCCGCCTCTGTACCATACTCCATTCAGGTTAGAGTGTGCGCAGGCGTTGTACCACCATCCTCCTTTATGAAAGTGGGCGCAGTTTCCTTTGGGGGAAAAACAGAGATATCAGAGTAAAAGTTTCTTCTAAGTGTGGTACTCTGCCAACCATCAAAAGCTTACTCCACCTTTGGAACAATTTAATTTGAGCTTTTCCACTGATTTCCATCACCGTTATCTTCATAGTTTTCTTCATTTTTTCTGTTACTGTTTGTTGCTTTTAGGTGTCAACTACATGAGCAGTAACATAAACTGCCATTTTTATCTTGCCCTTTGCTTGCTTAGGACTTGCTTTTTCTTTTTCTTTCTTTTTTTTTTTTAGTGATTTCATTTTCTAGGTAGTAGGGTAAAGAAAATGCAAGTACTATTCGTGTGTGAGAGAGAAAGAGGGAGAGATTGGAGAGAGTAGGAAGGAAAGAGAGTTGCTTAAAAAGAGTCAAGTTTGGGGAACGTTGAATTCTCAAAGTAGCAAATAATAATATAAAATAAAATAGCACTACTAGCAATTAAACGGGTTTCTATAAATAAGGTACATATCACGGTCCTACTGCGTTTCCTGTTCCCGCTTTGCCTGTGTGAAGCAGGTAAAAATAGAGGCCTGTGTGCTGCCTGCCGGAGCACGGCTGAGCACAAGTGTAAAATCAGTTTTGCGGGGAGCCTGAGTTAAAAAGGCAAAAGTATATGAAAATTAAATTTAAAATTATGTTATGTGGATGGCCTGATTGATTCTTTCTAACGTTAATTTCCCCTCTGAATGAAGCTCTTTTGCTGTGGCTGTGCCACACATCGCCGTGGCCTTGTGGCTCCTTTTACTAAGAAACGCCTTTACGCTTCCCTGCACCCAGGTGGCTTGCCTCCTTCCTGCCCTTCAGGTCTTTATTCAGACGTTACCTTCGCACAATAGCCGTCCTTGGCCACTCCACATAAAATAGGCCCCGCCCCACTCCCTGCCGCCCACCACTTTTCTGTTCCCTTACTCCGTTTTATTGTTCGTAGAGTTCTTGTCACCAGCTGACCAAACGTTCTATCTCCTAGAGAGTAAGCTCCAAAGGGCAGGGACTTTGTTTACTGCTGTATCCTCAGCACCTACAGCAGCGCATGGCACAGGGTAGGTGTCCAGCTAGTATCTGTTAGGATTTTTAGGCTCCTGAGAGTTTTATTTCCAGGTGAGTGAGTTTTTGTTTGGCTTTCCTCCCCCACCTCTCCAAGTTAGAACAAGAGAACCCTGATCTTCACAGCGTGCACACTTTGGGATTCTAGATGGGATCCTAAAGCTAGTTCTCTTGGCAGGTTCTGCTCCCTTTGAGTCCAAAATGACTTTCATGGAAAGATTTTTAGTGTATACACTTTAATAACAGGATTCTATTTCATGCATAGAAGATGGTGATTCCGCAAAGAATACACATCAGCGTTTCACTCACCTGTATACATATCTTTATCTCTGTCCAGTGTGGTGAACTGTTTACCATTGTGCCACATCATGGAATCCCCTGCGTTTCCCTGGTAAGTGCCCAGGCGCAGCCGATAGAATTCACTTTCAGGCTCCAGGCGAAAGCTGCTGTATTCTGCATAGACTTTTTTATCGCTCCAGTCTTCTAATTCAATCAGCAGCTTGTAATTATCTTGATTGCTAAGCATATAGATATTTTCCAATCCAAGCCAATATTCTCCATCAATGTTCCCAAACCCTTTCTGTTAGTAAACAAAGAACAGGATGAGAACATAAATCAGATGGAGATAGTAAACTTTTCCACAGAAAAGTTTTAAACATTTGAGAGCAGAAAGATATTGGCCATTTAAGTGGGAATATGAATTTCCTTCCATTTTAGTAGATCACCTGATCTTTATAAGCCCCACATAGTCACTTCGCTTTGTTTGGCTTTCTCTTAATTTGTCAGTAGTATTTATTTGCACAGCCAGTTTCAAACCCTCCAAATAAGACAGCAAAAGAGAATGAAAATTATTCAGAGCTACTAAAAACGTTAACTAGTAAACTATCCAGATCCTTGGAAAGGGTTCCTGATCTCTCATACAAAGAGCCCATTTTTTTCCTAAAAGTATGTGGATTCTGTCCCCACCATAGTCAAACAATAAAGATATCTAACATTAATGTGGTCATTCAATAAAAATGATAGTGTGTGTTTTAGAACATATTATCTTCATTAGCTCTATTATTAATATAAGTAAAATTAGTAAATATAAGACGATAAAATAATAATCTTTAAAGATCTCCCTTTGAAAAATTGTATATATGTTTGAAAAAAATCAGTTAACTGCCCCCTATTTCAGTACACTTTTGCCATTGCAGATATGCAGCAGAATTTAAGTTTGGTAAACCTGATCTGAACACTAAACTGTGTTTTCAAGGAAGTCTTGCTGCAGGAATCTTTTTTCCTAGTTACTTGTCTTGAAATTTACACAACTTTTGACATGAATATATTAATGTCTCATTTTTAGCTGCCAGTAAAATAGCACCTAAGAGTGAGTAATTACATGTTACTTCACAATTTTGATTGAAGAACTAGCCATATAGAAAATATAGTTTCTCCCATCTGCCATCCTTAACACTGAAAGTATGTACCACTCATAAAACTAGCATGAAGAACATCAGAATTACCAACAAAAACTAATTGTTTACCTTTCCCAAACTGGTATTGCAGAATCATGCAGTACCAGCCGTACATGAAAACCCAGCTGTGTGTTACTCCCCACAGGACCAGTGTCGGGTGTCATCAACTTAAAACATGGTGGCACGATTATTGTAGGTAATTGGTCTTAGACAAAGGTCAGTTTTAAAGTGTTGTACTTTATATTATTACTTAAATACACTTGATGATGGGTACAAATGTGGTCATAAAAAAGCAGTTATCTTTTTAGAAGATGGAGTTAGGAGTAGCCTTTGCAAAGAAATATATGTATAAGTCACCCAGACTAAAGGGGGTCATTTTAAAGTACATCTTCAGTTTCCTTTTTACATTTTGATTTTCACTTTAAAACTGGAGATGAGGATCATCTTTTTGACAAATGTAGATAATGAAAAACATATAGTTATTTTTTAACTGTGTGTCTTATTTATTGCATAGAATGGCTACTGTTACAAGAGCTGCTGTGTTCTGCCTTTTCCCCAAGCCTGAGTCACTGATGTACCTTATAGTTGTCCCAGTTTCTGAAGAAGTTGACAGAGCCATCTGTTCTTTTCTGAATAACAGTCCAACCCCCAGGATCCAAACTGTTCTCACACCATAACTGCACTGGCCCATTGCTGTTTTCAGGTTTAATCATGTAAATCCCACTGATGGAATGTCCAGCGTCTTTTGCATGCTGACAGTCTTTGAATGGTCCTGAAATTAAAATATCATTGAATGCCAGGAAACTTAACAGGAAAAAAGCCATATTAACCTAGTTTTTATTCAAGGGTCTTACCTTTGTATATTTTTTTATAGATACCACTTTTTATCTGTTGTATACACAATACTATAAAAGTTTAAAAATAAATTAAAAGATTACCCCAGTCCCACCATCCAAAACATTAACTTGTTTCACTTTCCACTGTTCTTGCAAGTCTTTGTCCATACACATACATTTTCATATTGTTATAATTCTAGCACACATAGAAAATTGGATTCTGTCTTTTCGTTTTAACAAACATTTCCATGGGACTCTAGTCTCCATTCTAGCACTTATAGTAGCTGTAATTATATAATCTTTGATGTTGACCTATTATTGTTTATTCTGCTATCTTTGGACATTGAGGTTTCATCTGATTTTTGCTATTATAAATAACGCTGCACACAGTATCTTCTTATTGGCTTCATTTTTTTCTTTCTTATAAAAATGCTGTGGGGTTGATCTACTGGATCAAGAAAATGTGACATTTTTACAGCTCTTCATAATGCCCAATTTACAGTTTTTGAAATTTGATTTTATTGGAATACACTAGTCCTTTGAGATACTCATTGAAAACAGCATATCATAGTCAAATAAGTCTTAGACTTGCTAAATACTATGTTACCCTTTTGGAACCTTACAGTGTACATTCACATATTAAAGGCAAAAGTCCTGAAATAAACCCAACTTTCCCAAACTTACAGAATCTTCTGACTTTTCCCCCATACAACAATCCATGAGAGTACATTTCAGGAATGTTGGCATTATGCCTTTCTAAAGAGTTGTATCAATTTATATGACGAATAGTAATTTTCTTATTTAATCTACACAATGACCCTGTGATAGTTTACAGATGTTCTATAGATAACAGTGAACCAGTCCAAGGTCCTGCGTCTAGAAGGGAATAAACCGTAGTCTTTAAACCCATTTCTTTCTAATCCCGGCTCCATGCTCTGAACTGCTGTTACATTTGCCCCTATGTTGTTTCATAGCTTTATGGATTCTCTCCCTATTTTTAACCACTAATAAATTCTTCTTATCTTTTAAAATGACAAAACATTTTGTAAAATCATATGTAGAGTATCTGACTCTTGAACTTGTGATATCCACATTTTTGGATCTTAAAGAAAACCTGTTTTATTGAACATTCTTTAGCTTTAACCTTTTGCAGTGTTTTGATCCTTGTTTTTTTTTTACTAAACATGTAAAAATATTAAGTGATTTAGAAATAAGGATTACCGGTACTGTAAAGATCTATTAGAACAACAAAAAAGTAGAAATTTCAGTTGTCAAATTTTTTATTTTACTAGAAATTTTTTAATTCTGCCATAATTTTTAGAAATTATGTGAAAATAGAGTCAAGTAAACTTCATACAAGAAAATCTGTACTATAAAGTTAATAGGATTATTGAAATTTTGAGAGATGTGTTATCTATACTGTGACAAGGGTCCCTTTGGGGCCTTATTCAGGTAAATTAATCTCATTAAATAAATAGTTATACAATTAGATCATTAGAAGGGATTCATAGGGTCTCTGAACTCTTCCCTCTGGATTGCTCCTTGACGACAGAGACTGTTTTTGTTTTTCTTCTGACTTCATGTCATCAGCCTTTTAACTACTAGTAGTAGACTGTCAATGATTTTTTTGATGAGTAAATGAATCAGTTAACTTGCCTTCAAATTTAAATACAAAAAAAATTGAAAACCACACACAAAAATCAAGAGATGATCAATTGCTCTAGTCCAGATTTTTATTGTTTCATTGATATATATATGTGTGTGTGTGTGTGTGTGTGTGTGTGTGTGTGTATATATATATATATATATGTTTCAGATTTTTAAAATTGATAATACAGTGACCATAAGCACTACAGATTACTAGTAAATAATTTAAGAAACTGGAGAGAATGCCGACTTTCTTGGGTTATATTTATTTTAGGTATTGAATTTTTTGGTTCTAAAGTTTCAGTTTCATTCTTTACAGTTTTATTTCTCTTCAGAGATTACCAACCCTGCATTCGTTATGAACATATTTTTCTTTAGGCTATAATAGCTACTTTAAAAATTCTTATCTTTTCTATCCCTAGTTTGCTAAGAGTTTGTATCATGGATGAGTTTTGGATTTTGTCAAAGGTTTTTTATTTATCTACTGAGGTGATGATATGGTTTTTCTTTTGCTATTGTGATAAATCCTGTTGATTGTATTTTTAAGGTTAAACCAACCTGTATTCCTGGGATAACCTCTATTTGGCTATGGTGTATTATCATTTTTATATATGGCTGGATTTGATTGGCTAAAATTTTGTTAAGAATTTATGCTTTTATATTCATGAGGACTATGATAAAAATAATGCTTTGAGCCTATCAGACTGGCCATAAATCACATTTCATTTAAATATGATGTGAATTATTTTTATATTATCTTCAATATAAAACCTTCTAGTTATTTAATTTAAATTACAAAGTATTCAGAGCCTGTAACACAGTACTTAATAGTCATCATCAGAGACTGCTCCCTCCTTTTCTCCTTCATTGCTAACCTTGACTCACAGGCGTAGCTTATTTAATAATTAAGTAGCCTATTTAATAAACATATGCTTATTTAATTAATAATTTTAATGTGGCTAATTGAAGAGGAATGTAAAGTCCTTTCTACTGTAGAGAATAACATATTCCTGAAAAACCTCATATTCTGCAGAATCACTCACTAAAAACAACAGCTGGTGTTAGCTATTAGCATGCTTTGTATTTATCTGCATTTACGGCACAAAACATTGATATGCTTGAAAAAAACCCCATATGAACCAGTATGACCTCTCTGTTTTACTGATATTATTCTCTCTTTTTTGCTAGTTACATATGAGCTTCTTCACATTACATCAAGTCAGAGAAGGCTGTATTTCAGATAGGATGAAATTTATAGAATTTTAATATCCCACATGGGAAGGAAATGAAAAGAAAAGTGAAGTGTGGTTTCCAAGTCCAGTTTGAGATTATCTTGTGTGATGCATGGTAATAATAGTCTTTTGTTTACTCACAGAACTCCCTATAGACAAGAATTGTATCTTTTGGTTGTGTGTCCACAGTTTAAAGACACTTATGCACTCAAATATTTGTTGAACCAAATAATTTCTGGTAGCCACAGTAGTTTCCTCAGTTCTGCATTATTTTTTCCAGAAACATCTTTCCTGCTTCTGCTATAGGCTAGAAACAGTTTTAAGCTCAAGTGATAAAGAAACAACCATAGGGTCAAGTAGGAAGGGGGAAACGGCAAGTACAGAGATAATGTCACTACGGTGTGACAGGTACTTCCGTGGAGTTAGACATCAAGCTTCTGCACTTGGGACACTTGCTGAGAAATGGCTAACCCAGGTTTGCAGGGAAGATACCAGAGTCTGCCTATATCAGTGCTGAGTTCTGAAGATTGACTAGGAGGCAGTCTTGTGGGGTGCGGGGAGTGGGGCTCTGATGAAGGCCACACATGGGGAATGTGTGCTGGGGCAGAGACAGGAGAGAGCACTTGGCTTACAGAGGAGTTCAAGGTCAGTGTTTCTGAGATGTCAGTGGCTGAGGGTGGTGCTCAGAGCACAGAGCTGGAACTGATTCCTTTGGTTTAAAAGTATAGTCATGGTTACTTCCAAAGTTAGCCAGATTTTTCTAAGTTGTCACTTTTAAAATAGTCAGGATATCTGAGGGAACGTTGTTCTTACTTTAAAGCCTGTTAGCATGGTAGTTAATGTACTCATGGAGTGGTTTTGTTACAATACACATAAATATTTCTCTCATTTCAGAAATTTGCTTATTCTATAACTGTCACCTTTGCATTGCTTATTCCATGAATGTCATATTTACTCTGCTCTCATTTAAGTATAGTTTTGACCCTTTACACTTTATATTTAAGTATATATTCACAAGTTGGACTTTCAGTAGGTTATTTGAATTGCTGTAAGGTTTTGAATGTTCACAGAATATTTATAAAACACCATTTGTCCTTTATCTGTATTTAATAGGCCCTCGGATATTCAGTATGCAAATTGGAGAGTTTTTGGGTTTTCTAAATCCAGCTTTGATTTGATAAGACTTCAGTTTATACACATTTAAAATTATCTTCAAGTTGCATTTTCAGCCCACATTTTTGTAGTGGGCTTCACGTCTCCAGTCGGGAAGCCGTTGAACTTAGCTGGTATAACGGCTTAGGGAAATGTAGTTGCAATCCTTCTCCAATACATGTGGATAAAATTAATAACTGGTGCTTATTGCTACCTTTTTTCTCCTCAGCAAAGATAGTGAATACCAGAATTTAGTATTTGTTTATATTTATTTTATAAATAAACCATTAGCCTGTGTCAGCCCAGTGTACACTGTTTATCTTGGCAGAAATATTTTCTCATTATTACTTGCATATCTTATATTTGCATTCTGCTCTACAGCTAAATTATAAGTCGTTCTTATATTAAATGTTTTACTACTTTCTCTGTACCATAAAAAACTTTGCTTAATGGGAATTCTTAAATGACTCATAGAAAAGTACCAGTTTTATTTTTGAGAGGTCAAATTTAACTTGTTTGTTTGCATACTGTCAGAAATAAATTAATTGACATGATTTAGGAATTTGTTCATAATGATTCAAAGGGTATGGACTGAAAATACCTTTCTTTTAAAATAGGAGTTTTATTAACCTTTTTTTCTTGCATTGAGTAATCTTGCAATGGTCTTCATCTTCCACGACACACAATAGGCGTCTTCTCAAGGCAGGAAACGAGAATTCTGTACATTGAATTTGAAGGACCAGTCTCTCTCTTCCTCAGTTTATTTGATGATTAAAGTTTGTATAGGGCTAACAAATTCCAGTTAATAGATCTGATTCATAGAAAGAAAAATATTGAGCAGTCATGCCACATTATTTCCCAACGTGCAGTTTTCATAAAGAACCCATATTTTGAACAGAACAGCT